TGTGCGCGCGCGGTATAAAAGGAGCCAAGGGACACGTCCTCGGTTGCCTGCAGCCAATCACGAAATGGTGCACAGTGATTGGCTTCGGGCGCTCGCGACTGCGATCCCACCGTGAGACGGACAAGAGGAAAACGTGGGCGCGCAAGGCTTTGCAGGCACAAAGAGTCAGTGCGGTGAAGCTGATCCCAGAGGGGCATCTATGTGCATTTGGGTTTATACATGCAGCTGATGATCTATGCCAATGGGGTTTAAAATTGCGCTCAGTTCTGCTCACAGTAAAAATTTTAGGACCAGCTCGGGGGGAGGAAGAGAGGAAGAATCACTAAGCAATTTTACATAAACTATAAACAGTAGGCGACGAAGCCCAGTCGTGCACGTTTAGCAAAAACGGAAGCACCACCAACGGCACTGATCCGCACTTCTTCCTCTCCTGCTGACCTCAACCAGGTACTCCTGAGCGGGATTTTGAATATGGCTGACTGGATAGCAATATCCACTTATCCGTCTCATTTCACCTTGTCAGTAACTGTGTGCCCTTCTGTTCTTTCCTTCCAAAAGTATTTGGCCGCTATGATTCACCCCGGTGGTGGTCGCAACGACATCCCAGAGCGCTTGAAGCGTCAGTTCTGCTGCTTCAACTGCACTCTCCCTAGTGACAACTCCATCGATCACATCTTCAGCACAATTGGTCTTGGCCACTACTGTCCAGAGCGCGGTTTCCCCGCAGAGGTGACGGAGGCAGTACGCAAGATGGTGCCCGTCATTCGTAGGGTCTGGCAGCAGACCAAGGTCAAAATGCTGCCCACCCCTGCCAAGTTTCACTACATTTTTAATCTGCGTGATCTTAGTCGAATATGGCAAGGCATCATCTACGGAATAAGCGAGGTAATGTTTGTGCCTGAGGGTATAAATATTGTTAGTCCACTGCCTTTTTGCATGCGTAGACAGACTTTGAGACCAGTAGAATTTGGACAGTTTCAGTTCATTTGGCGGGGGTAATAGGTAATGCCGTTGAAAACCCTATTGATTACACATGCCGGTGCATCATATACATTTTAACGCACGTGCGCAAAAACAATTTCTTTTTAAATGCTATTCACAAACTGTGAGTAGCATTGTTTTTACAAATAACTCTTGGCTGGACGGAAGCCGATGCTCGGAACTGCGTGCGCAGGCCCCCTAGGTCAGATCTGTTATCGAAACGTGTTGGCATCCGCACGCTCCCTGGGGCATTTCCGATGAGCCCCAATAACGGCTTGCAGGCCTTCAGGCCGCTAGCTCATTGGTTGACTTTCACTGGCCTCTGACCCACGCTAATTGATGCTTCATGCTAGTACTCACGACTCGCCGCAGACCGATGGCTCACGAATGAGGTCTTACTGAGGGGGCCAGCTTCACAACCGTAGCTGATATTTTAAAAAGTTCCACTCCTGGCTGGAGTGTCGGGAATTGAAAGGCAGTAGCGAAGTCACAGATACCTCCCAAATTGATGCGGTAGCGGACGGTCTAACGCGATTTCCGCAAACTAAGGGGGTCACCAGAGTAATTTTCGACAACAGAAGGTTCCCCAAGTCAGAAGTCAAGAGGGACTGACAGGGTTGTACGGTGTGTACTGCAAGAAAAAGCTTGCAGAGGGATTTACAGAAAAAGGTGTTGCAGGCAGTCTCCTCAAGCAGTTGTTTTTATTGTGTGCCCGTGTGCGTGGGGTTAGAGGCAACACGTGACTTACCCTTTTTGCCTCAGCCAATCAGGAAAAGCTGCATTCTGATTGGCTTCGAGCTCGCAAGG